AAACCTTGTTTTTATATCATCACATATACCTTTTGTAAATTGCCAGAAGTACTTACTGTGACAATGTGAAGAATAATTTAAAATTTTTAATGTTTTCGTTTAAAAATTTCTTACAGATTTTATTTTTCAAATAACTGATTAATAAGGTAGAATAGGTCATTAATTTTAAATGCAAGTTGTATGTAAATTATTTTAAAATGTCTTCATTTTAAAAGAGAAGTTATGAGTTGCTGTGGCTGGAGTGTTGGCAGGAAACCACCACCACTGAGAATATAACTACTGGGGTAGAAGAAAAGGAAGGGAAAAGGGTGCTTGACTTCCCATGAAATCTCTGCAGCAAACACATCTAGTCAGCTAAAACTGCTCATTAAAGGAGTGAGAGCAGAAGAAATGCATTTTCCAAATTGAATGCTAGATTTACAGTCCGTTTAATACCAGTGACCTCTCGCACACTAATGTTCAGTTCGAGTCATCAGCTGTCCCTTTGGGTCTTTTATCACTGCTTTTGTCAAGCTATCTATTTAATTGAAAGAAGTTAATTGAATGAAAATGATCAACTAAGCTTGTATTAATATTGCTAATGGAACTTTCTTCTTGGCCATGTTTGGAGAAAGATGTCAAGCTAGACTTTAGGAAGGGCCCATTAATGCTTGCACTTAACCTGATGGGCTAATTAAGGAATGCTTATTCATTCTACAAGTCGGGGAGAGTCTCTAGCCAGCCCATTCTGCCTGATTTTACAACACATTTCACTTACGAGCATGAGCATTAGTAGCAGAGAGAGTAACTGATAATGTTTTGATTGCAGTGAATACAGCACTAATGCATCATTGAATTTATAATTGTGCAGATTGGTGTAATATATGTTTGCACAATTTATTTTAATTACCTATCTCTATATTCCTAAGTAAACTTTAAAGGTCACATGTTAAGCCCTTAATATATCTTTTCTTAGCAATTGACAATTTTGTAACTTTCCTAAGTTAAAAATAAGCTATCTTATTAAAATTTATGATCCTTATGTAACCTTTTCCTGGGTATAGGTATTATGGTAGCATATGTGTTTTCCTTTCAGTATTTAATTAAACTCTGGGATCTTTGTTAATAAAGGTTTCAATTATGTAGGATATCAGGTTTTGTGTACAGTATCAGATAATTTCCTTGTGTTAGAGCACCTATTGAGAGTTTTATAATTTTCATATGGCAGGCTTATCTTCAGGACATAGAAATCTCTGAAGTTAATAATGCTGTGTATTTTTCACCTTGGCCCTGTTTTGTTTTGCTTAAGCATTATATTAAAATTTTATAATGAACTCTTTATGCCTCAAAGTGATTCCTTGCCACTTTATTAGTCACTGAAGGTTTTAACAATTAGGGTGAAAGTTCACCTTTTTTGGTACAGGATTGTTTTAGGTTTGAAATTGAGTTGTTATAGACCTTTTGAGTTTAGAATAATTTGAAGACAGTTTTTTGAATGGATTTCTGTTCTTTGACCAAAACAGTCCCCCCAAAACCATTTTATACTACCTGTTAATTAAGCTGGGCCCTAAAAATAACAAAAATCAAGGCATAGTCTTTTAGTAATCGGCTCCATTAGTTTTTCTTTTAAGAAAATATTATCTTTATTATGAAATGGTAAGAACTTACACCTGAGCGATTACTATGTTTTAGACAGTATTCTAAGAGCTTTGCATATATCAATTCATTTAATATTAATACGATAATTCTGTAAGAAAGATACTGTATTTATCCCTGTTTTACAAATGATGTCACGTAGGTAGTAGTTGGTAGAGCTAGCTGCTACTCTACATTCCCCTCTGAAAAGTATTAAAATAAAATTTTATCAGCATTTTTAATATATCATAGTGTCAAATTCGAGTTGAATAATTCAAGGTAGAATCAGCCAAGGAAGGTAAAAGCATTTTGCCAGTGATCTCCTACCTTCTGTTGATTTTGACAGAATTGCAAATGATGAGACCTGACTCCTTCAACACCAGCCATTTTCATTTTTTAGTCTTTTGATGGTCCTCCTGAGCTAATTTGTGTAAGAGGCTCTGTTGGCTGGTCACAGAACATAGAATTTTAAGTGGATAGAGTCATCTTTCTTTGTCACTGTAAGAATGGAGGTCAGTTTCTAAGCCCTGCATTGACACTGCTAAAACAGTTTATGCATTTATCAAATTTATAAACTCCTCCTGAAGTGTAATTTATAGCTGTAATTGCTTTAGCTCTATGAGGAGATAGGAAATTCTGTTTTGATATGTCTTTGTGTGCAGCTACCAAAATTAACAGGAGTTAACTCAGGGGTGCAGCAGGGAGATGAGGAGGAAGGCTCTCACGCCTTCTGTCTGTGTATCTGCACATGGGGAGAAACAGCTGTGTTGTGAGTCATTTTCACTTTCTTGGTGGTTGATTTGTATTTTTCAGATTCAAAAAAGTTTTTTAAAAAAGTAAAAATTTAAAACAATAGTAATGCCCTAATTGTAGCCCTAACATGCCATCATTAACCGTCAGTGTTAGCCAAAAGTTGCAAAGCGATGTACCCGAATTTTATTTTTTATAGAGCTCTGCCATATCCTTTTCTGTCTTTGAAGGTTTGAATTTTTTGTTTTTGCTTTTTGACTAGTTAAAGTGGATACTTTGAGTAGTAATTTTGTAGAGTTATAAACATGTGCTGGAGAATACTGTTTTTCAAAATACACCAGTTTTTATCACGCGAAACTAAGAGCTCTATAAGACTTGATTAACTTTTGACAGCAGCAATCCATACCAGATACTTGATGATGGTGGTGGGCCAAGGGGAAAACCTGCAGCCTTGGGGCCCATGTGGCCCTCCAGATCCCCAGTGCAGCCCTTGACCGAAACCAGACTTCACAAAACAAATCCCTTTATCAAGAGGATTTGTTCTGTAAAATTTGGATTCATTCAAAAGGCTGTACTCAAGGATCCAGAGGGCCACATGGGCCCCCAAGGCCAGAGGTTGCCCACCCCTGCCTGGTCACAGTCTGCTAAGGGGTCATGAATGAATTCAGACCGGGTCCCTGTTATCACTGTGTAGTACGACAGGCAGAGTTCAGCTACTTACGCTGAGAAAGAACAAGCCTGAGAGGCCGGCACTGCTGCTGACGTCATCACAGCCGTAGGAACTGGGCATGTCCTGTCCGACGACTTTCTCAGAGCTGGTGCATTATAGGTTTTTCTCACATGTCATTTTTATATATTCATTATGAAGTCAAATTTTTAAAAATTTCTCTTTTGATATGTTTACCACTTTACACATTTACCACGCTTAAATACCTGTGAATTATATGCTTCTTTATTGAGATTTTAAAGAATTAACTAAGCTGTTTGGTTCTACTTATCCAGTTTTACATGGAGACTTTTATATTACAGTGTAACTTGGTCTTCCAGTTGCCTTTCAGAACTGGGACTGTATGTACTTATTTTTTGGTGGCAATACTATATCCAAATGTCAGTCATCTCCACTCAGAAATGTCATAATTTAACATTAATAGCCTTAAGTCATCTGATTTATATATAAATTTATTGTATGATAGTATGTTTTCTTATGAAGTGATAATATAGATCACGCTTAAGAATATTTCCCCAAGGGTAATTAAGCAAGATTTTCTTACAATCAGCATAGCCAACGAACTCTCTGACACACCGTGATCTTGTGAAAACGGTGCTTGTTAATTTATAATCTTTAACGTGGACAGATGTCAGGTTGAATTTTTGTGAGGAATTTCTGTGTTTCTGTGCAGTTATGTACTTGATCTTTTTAATATTTGGGTTGAGAGAAACGTGCTTGTAAGTATCACCTATTTTTTTTTTTTTTTTTTT